AAGTCCTCCCTAAAGGCAAGGCGTTGACATGCTTGTCAGGTCTGGACAACGAGGAGCCTAGCTCCGTCTCCGAGCCTCTTCATTTGGTCTCTGATACTCCTCCAAACAAATGCCGTTTTCACGCATTTCCTCCAATGGTCACAATCCAGGCAAGTTCCCCTCAAGCTTCAGAGTCCCCCAAAATTCCCTTGTGCCTCCTGAAAAGTTTAAAAAGGAGGATATGGGGACTCTTCACCTGGTTCTGAACGCTTGGCCTCAAGCTGCAGCTTGCATAATGAATCATCACCCCCGTTAGAGGAGCACCTTGCCAATTGAAGCCTGGCTAGAGGGAAGAGCTACCTGGCCACAGGCCTGCATTTTTGCTGTAAGGGCAGGTCCAGGGAAAATGCCAATCTTGACATACCTCCTTGGTTTTCCTATAATTCCATCATTTTCACTCCCATTCTCCTCCTGATCCATTTTCATGCATCTAATTCATTTATTCAACAATCGTTATTTGTCTCCCACTATATACCAGGCTTTACTACAGGAATGAGATACTGACACCAAAGATAACGGTAATAATCTTATTAACTGCCAAGTGCTGAGCTAAAAAGCTTTATCTTCACTATCCCATTTAACATTTACTGAGAACTCCACAAAGACGGGAGTTCTCTGCCCCATTTTACATATTATAAATCTGAGGCTCAAGAAGGATAAGACATTTGCACAAGATAACTTCTTTGGGTAAAGGTGGCAATGTAACACTAAATTAAAGAATCTCTCCCCCCCCCAACATTTCATACAATGAACAGCAAAAATAAAAACAAAATAGCAATTAAAAAAAGCAAAAAAAATTACCAGCAATTTCTACTTTGGGTAAGGACAAATAAACACCTACCAGCTTACCTGCTCTCCCACAGATAGCAGCTACAACTCTAGACAAAATACAAGAAAAACAACCTGAAGGCATGAGGATGTAAACGCAAACAGAGAGACTGGAGAGAGTCAGTTCTTATAAGAATGTTATGGTAAGTAAGGGACGAGTTACCTATTTTCCTAGTCTTTGCCAGGGGACAGGCTGAGAGCAGCACCTTGTGAGGAGGCTAAAACTCTGATACAAAATCCATAGTCTTTTGGCCTAAAGAACAAGAGGACAGAGTGTACTGGAAAGTAAAGGGGGAGGAGAAATATTAGAAAGGAGTGATCCAAAAAGAGAAAGAGGCTCAAATTCTGTGTATAAACTCTGATCAAGCTTCTGTCTGATCCTGAACAACACCACATAAAGGCAGATTCAAAGAAACCAAGCTAAATTAAAGATAGAGGAATTGAGCTGAGAGTTGATCTGCTCCCCAAAAGGAAGAGTTTTGCAATTTGGATCCATCTAAGTTTATTTGCTTGGAAAAATGAAACATTAACACTCTGAGAGGGCTAGAATAGGACCTAGAATCTCTATAACAGCAGATACATAATATTCATACAAAGAACATACATAGTCCAGGCTTAAGGGAAAAAACAACCAGCTGAGACTGCCCCTGCTGTTGAAATGAGCAGATGATAAGAGTTGCCAAGCAGCTCTCAGAACTATGCTCAATAAAGTCAAGGGAAATGAATAAAAGGCAGGAAATTTTAAATAAGAAATAGAAACTCTATTTTAAAAGAACCAGTAGAAATTCTAGAACTGAAAAATATTTGAAATTTGAAATACTCTGGAAGGACTTGACCAAAAAAGAGTCAAAGGACTTACAGATAGATCAATAGAAATGTTCCAATCTGAAGAACATTAAAAAAATTGAAATATATAAGCAGAGTCTCTGAGACCTGTGGAATAATACAAAAAATAATGTCTACATACATATAATTTAAATTCTAAAAGTGGAAAAAAGAAAAAATAAGGCCATAAACATATTTGAAGAAACAATGGCTTAAATTTTCTCAATATGTTGAAAGACAAAAATGTGTGGATTTAAGAAGTTCAGGGAACCCCAAGCAGCATAAGTGTAAATAAAGACACATATAGGTGTATCATAGTCAAACTGTTGGAAACTTCAATAAGGAGAAATTTTTGGAAGCAGCCAGAGGAAAAAAATGGTCTGCCACACAGTGGAAGAGCCATTGAAATTACTGCTGAATTCTGATGAGAAACTACAGGGACCAGAAGATAATGGAACAGCTTGAAAGTGCTGCGGGGAAAAAACAAGAAACACTTTGCAACCAAGAACCCATATAAATTGAAACTATCCTTCCAAAACAAAGACAAAGTAAAGGCATTTTTAGAAATTCACTGACAGTAACAAGAAAACAGGTTGAACCTTATACCACAAATGGCGAAAAGAAGTTGTCTGAGAGGAGTTCTGCTCCTTTCATAATCCCATACTTAACTTCCCCAGAAACAGCATAGAAGAAAACAGATGAAATGGAAAAGCCCTGATAATTTTAATAAATTGCTCCACCCCCTGCTCCAGTTTGGAGAGGATATGACTGAGACGGTAAAAAAGCAGCTTGAAGAAAAGTCAAGAGAAACCATTTTGGAGCAGAAGCTCCTGCCTGCAATCACGACCGTGAAGGGCTGTTCCCAGATCACTGTGCTAGGTTGAAGCAAGCCCACAGGAGTGGCATTCACACCCAGCTGGGTGGCATGGGACCTGGAACTGGGCATTTTAATGGGACCTCAGAAAAGCAGAGGTGCCAGGTCTGCCAGCAAGAGCTGCATGTAGCTCGCCCCCCCCCCATCCCTTGAAACTCTAGAAGAGGAAACAGGAGCAATTCAACGCCCTCACATTATAGCTCCGATGGAAAGGCAGCTGAGTTTTGGATAAGACAGAAAGAGCTTCAACGGGAAGTCACCACGCTCAGTATCAAAATCAACAACCCATGTTCATCACAGGCTAAAAAAGGAGAAACAGATCAGAAGCTATGAAAGCACTCTATACGGAGAGAGAAAAAACAAAACAAAACAATTCAGTCTGGAAAAAAGCCCAAATCAAGGGACAGAACACTCACTATGAATGCATCCCTCTGTAAGCATACATATTCTAATAAAGGATATAACTTTAATAAATAAGAAAACAAAAACAAAAGGATAAAATAACAGCATGTGATTTTTCTTAAAGAAAAAAGAGATTAAAGTGCTAAACAGACAAAGTACTTAGCAAAATTCATCTTCAGATTTAACAAATGACAGAAAAAATAAACAACTAACAGAATAAATGCAGCTGAACATCATCAAATTATTTCTATGGACAGAAGGCTTGAGATGATCTTAGTGGATATTGAGGGAAAGGACTTGAAATTTAAAACAATTAAATAATAGATGACAAAGGCACTCTTACAAGAATTATTGAAGTCCAGGAAGTGAAGAATTTCAAAAAGTAGAGAAACTGTTTAGAAATGTAATAGAGGAAAATTTCTCCAAAATGTAAGAATTCATCTTTTTAATCAAAACTATGCAGTGTTTTTTTCAATACTATTGATAGAAAAATGAGATTTATACATATGCTTATTAACATAAGTTGAAGGATAAAAAATTAAATATCAGATTTTCCACTGTACTGTTTAGTGGCAGAGGACAGTTGAGCAATGTCTACAAAGTTTTAAGGGAAAGAAAAACTGTCCCCCAACTATTACATTTCATTAAAATGTCATTTAAGTATAAATGCAAAAGGCAGACATTCTCAAATATGCAAGAACTCAAGATATTCAGCCCGCATGCATGAGCCCTTCTTGGAAAAATAAGCTCTACCTGATCAAGAGTTGAATCAGAATAAAAAGCTCAAAAACTCTGAGAGGAAAAAACACCAGTGGTGCCCATCAAATCTACGTAAATATCAGAGCAAAGTTAAATAACAGGGGAAGTGATGGGAGCATAATGGACTGTAACTACCATAACCTTTAGAAAGAAATAATACTGACCAACAACTGTGAAATGGTAGGAGGGGAGAAGGCATTGGGAATAAGTGGAACACAGCTGTCTCATATTTTCTAATAGGCCATCAGTTGGTGGTATCAAAAATTAAAATATGATGTTTTTGAAAGCATAGTAACTCCACCTCATGATGGTTTTTATATCCTTTTTTGTTGTTGTTTCCTATAACCTTACACAGGAGCCAGGTAGGAAGCACTAACAGCAAACATTTATTGCATGTTTGCTATATGCTCACTGCTTTAAGCTCTTTACACATATTAGTTTGTTTTATCTTGTCAATAACCCCATAAAGTACAGTATATATTTAGCCCCATTTTATGAAAGAGGAAATGAAACACAAAGCCTTTAAACTACCCCAAAGCCCCAAAGCTAGCAAGTCATAGAATCAGAGTTCAAACCCAAACGGCCAGTCTCCCCAGCTCATGTACTTCACCCCCACCCTTTTCCACGGCTCAGTGAGCGTGTGAAATGACCAGAAGAAGACAGTAAGAGGTGAGGAGACATCTTGCAAATTAGTGTGTTCACCCCTCCCCGGCCAAGGCATTCAGCTTCTATTTCTTTAAATAAACTGTGTGCAGCCAAGCAAAGTACCTCTGTGGGTCAGTACACAGCCCGCTGGGCACAGGCCTTGGAGGGATTTACAGGAACTGCTAATATCTCAATATACCTCTTGTGGTGAAGAAACATCTGAATTTCAGTCATTTCACTAGTTTCTAATTGTTGTGGTTTATTTTTTCTTTTAAACAATAGAATATGGAATAATTCTGTTCTTTTAATTTTTTATTTTTCATGTATTATTTTAACACATGGATCTACTTGGGATAATCTATAATCATCCTCACAAATAATTTTACTTCAGAATGGTGAGACTTGAAAGTCATTTATTGCTTTTGTCCTTGTACTTTTCTGAATAATATTTATCACCCTAGTAAAAAAAAGATTTTTGTGAAACTTTTTTAAGTTCACTTAGCTTGAAGCTAAGATGTAGACTCTTATCTCCTATACTTTCAGAACCATACACTGAACCCATTGTTGTCTTACTTTCTGCAGCCTGGTGTTGAAGAAGGTGAAGTCTTAGTGTAAGTAATAGAAATTAATGTATGATAGAAATTATGGTACATTGAATGTGCTTGACACCATGTCTAGCAAATAATAACTAGTAAATAAATGTTTGTGGTTATAATCATGGTAATTGTTATTATTCACTGCTACTATGGTACATTATTAGAAATGCAGCGATGGAATAAGTATGTGATACCATGAAAACAGAGGAGAAAAAGCTGCTAATCCAAAAAGGTAGTTAAGGAAGACTTCCTGAAAGAGGTGATGGGTGCTGAGTTTTAAACAGTCAAACTTTGCCAGGTAAGAGGTGAAGATAGCAGAGCATTCCAGGCAGGGGAGCTGCGTGATGGATTAAAATAACTGCTGCAGCTGGAAAGTGACATGTGGAAGTGTAGCTTGAGAAGAAATGGGAAAGGTAAGTCATGATTAGATCAGAGATGACCCCCCATGCCATGCCATGCCATGCTATGCCATGCTATGCCATGCTAAAGAGTTTGGGCTTTAAATTCAATGGGAAGCCACTGAAGGGTTTAAAGAAGGGGAGTGTCCCCGTAACCAATGCCTTTCTCCCATCCAAGTACTAACCAGACTCAACCCTGATTAGCTTCAGAGATCAGATGAGATCAGGCACATTCAAGGTATTATGGCCGTAAATGATACATGCCTTTCTGAGAGCTCACTGGCTGTTGTGTGGAGGACTGGTTGGAAGAGATGACTTCAGAGACAGAGAACTCATTATGGTTATTGCAGTAGTCCTCCTAAGACCTGATGGGCCCCAAGGCAGAGGCAGAGTCAGTGGAGAGCTTTCTGGGACTGTGGTTCTCAAAGTGCGGTTCACAGAACACGACAAGTCCCTAAAGCCCTTTCAAGGGGGCTGCAAAGTCAAAACTATTTTAATAATAAAATTAAGTCAGTAATATTCAAAACTATTTTCATATTCATATTAAGGCATTTTCTCTGTGGTAAACTTCAATTAATAATAAAAAGCAATGATGGGTGAATCTGCTGGTATTTTTAGCATGACCATCCACTAATAATCTTGCTTTCACTATGCCCTCACAGAAAAATATGTCAATTCATCTTTAGAATATTCTTAATGAAGCAATAAAAATACTATTTTCATTAAATATTGACCTCTGAATACACCCATTTTTCATACTCTGTACGATGTAATGAAATTGGTATGGTGATGGGAGGAGAGGGGAGGGGTCATAGGAGGAGGTTGCCCAAGGCAACAATAAACAAGCTAGCACTGCAGGCAACAGATCTCCCTAGCCCTGGGCGGAAACATGGCAGGAGGAGACTTTGCACAGAGCCTAGGCAAGGCTGAGGAGGGTGACTGACAGAGGAAAAAACCCTCCTACTCCCTTCTAGAACATGGTTGCAGGGGGAGGTGCAGAGTTGCCAGTCTAGCCTGAAAAAGAATAGATTGGCTGGGAAGCTGGACAGTTCAGGAGCACAAGGAATTATGGGCTGGGAGAGTTAAACTGAGGGAAGGCAAAGATTCAGCCTTTTTCCCTTCCTTGAGGATCAGCTTGGATGATTGCCCAGAGGCCGCCTATGGTTTCCCAAAGGATGGTGTTTTAAATAGGATAAGGAACTCCAGGCACAGCCTTGAACTGGTCTGGCAGAGGGTAGAGGGCTTTTTCTATGGTTGCTCTAGAGCGGACAGGTTCTGAGGCAGAAGCCTGCTATTCTTCCCAAATTGTGTAGCTTTTCAATAAAATACTCTTTCATTTCCACCAAACATTTGCCCCTGGAATTTGCCTATGGGTGGTGGGCAGCAGTACTCAGTGTCTGTCAGCAAGAGGAAGAACCACATAAAGTACTTCTTTTATACAGAGAAATACAATGTATCAAAAAAGTGCTTTTTTCATGGAACTCCATTTTTGCCTAAAAAATGATAAACTAAGGTCGTTCATACAACCTTAGTCGTTCAAATGATAAACTAAGGTCGTTCAAAGTTGTAACTTTGGGACACATTTTCTTAAAAATGAACAAAGTGAACCTGCCACTTCAAGGAAAACAACAGCTCTTTGTTTTTCTCATAGTCTTTGTTATTTATTGTATTTGTTGCTGATGACAACATGTGAGTTTTCAGGCAAAAATTCAAATGTTGGAAACTTGTTCCCCCCACTATGAATGTTAACAGCTTCCCAGTTCTTAAATATTTTTCTGAGGAGTAAGTTGCTATGGATTAAATTGTGTCCCTCCAAAAACATATTGAAGTCCTAATTCTTGGTACCAATGAACGTGACCTTATTTTGAAATTGGGACTTTGCAGATATAACCAACATAAGAGGAGTTCACACTCCTTATGTAAAGAGAGATTTGAGTAAGTGGTCACAGGCACACACAGGAAAGGAGGCCACGTGCAGAAGGAGGCAGAGACTGAAGCAATGAAGCCACAAACTAAGAAATGTCAAGGATTAGTGGCGACCTCCGAAAGCTGGGACACAGGCACGGAACACACTCTCCTTCGGTGCCTCGGGAAGGAACGAGCCTTACCAACAAACACTTTCATTCCGGACAGCTCGCCTCTAAAAAGGAGAGAATAAATTTCTGGTTTTTTAAGTCAATAAACTTTTGTTTGTGTTGCTTTGTTGCAGCAGCCCTGCCCAATGTGATTGTTTGATGGTGGAAGGAAGTGCGTCGATGTTTGAAAAATGGGTATAACTTGTTGGAGCCCAAGAGGCCTGTGAGGGGTCGAGGATAGGGTCTAGCACTGCGGGTGTGGTGACTGGGCCTGGTTTCCGGCCTCGGAGCTATCTTGGGTTATAACAGTTCTCTGACCCCTTGAGAAACTAGCCGCTTCTCCCATCAACTCATATCTTTGGCCTGTGCATCATGTACCAAGAAAGTATGTTAGCTTGGGAACGTCCGGACTCTAAGGGAAGAGATAAACTTTGTAGGTCAAGGAAGTGAGCTACATGCCAGAAGGCTTCTCCTTTGTTCTCCTTTGTATCCAAGATTGTATATAAGCCAGAAGACTGCGCAATAAACTTGCCTTATGCCAGCAGAGCATTTGGTCCTCTCCTTTATTTCAGTCCCTCGCTCAGCCTCACGACCACCCTTTCTGCAGCGGGCTGCGGCAGAGTGGCGCCCAGAACAGGGACCTGAAGAGTCCAGAATCGTGAGGATTTGAGATCCCGAGAGGACCGCTGCTACGGGGGCCCGGTAAGTTAAAAGTAAAAAAGTAGCAGGGAGCGGTGCAGGAGAGCATAATAATGGGGAATTCCCACTCTTCCGAAAGGGAGTTGTTTGAACAAGTATTGTGCACCCTATTAAGGGGACGAGGTGTCACAACCTCTAAGGGGCAAATCCATCGTTTTGTGGATTTTGTCCAACAAGTATGTCCTTGGTTTCCTATAGAGGGAACGATTAATATTAATACTTGGAGGAAGATTGGGGAGTCAATAGATGGTTTCTCCCCCGAGAGACAGATTTTCCCTGTCCTTCAGAGGCAGAATGATCAGGGCCAACAGTGGCGAGATTATGAGCCTATTCCTTACAAGACCTTGAAGGAGTTAAAATTAGCCTGTGCCCAATATGGGGCTACGCCCCCCTTCACCATTGCTACCATGGAAACTATCGCGAGCCTTGCTCTTCCCCCACAAGATTGGAAAACTATGTGTAAGGCAGTGTTAACTGGGGGTGATTATTTGCTATGGCTTGCTGAATATCACGAGAGCTGTGAGCGACAAGCTAGGTCTGAAGTTGCTCGCAGGCTTGGAATAACATGAGAGGCAGCTAGAAAGCTGGTGCAGGAGCAGCTTGCTGCCAGACATATTGAACCTTCCACGTCACCATGGAATTCTCCTATATTTGTTATCAAAAAGAAGTCAGGAAAGTGGAGGCTCCTTCAGGATTTGAGGAGAGTAAATGCTTCCATGTTCCTCATGGGTGCGTTGCAGCCTGGACTTCCATCTCCTGCTGCCATCCCTCCATCTACTTATAAGATTGTGATTGACTTAAAAGACTGTTTTTATACTATTCCACTGTTCTCTTCTGATTGTCAGCGATTTGCTTTTAGTGTTCCCTCCACTAACCTTCGGGAACCAATGTTAAGATTTCAATGGAAAGTTTTACCTCAGGGTATGGCTAATAGTCCTACCTTGTGTCAAAAGTTTGTGCAACAAGCTATTCAGGGAACAAGAGATAAGTTCCCCTCGGTTTTAGTCATTCATTATATGAATGATATCTTGCTAGCGCATTCCAATCATGACCTCTTGATTTTAGCATTTTCCAGGATGAAACAAGACTTAGCCGTTTTCGGTCTGCAAATAGCAGCTGATAAGATCCAAAATGCTTACCCTTACTCCTATCTTGGATACCAACTTAAGCCCCTAACTTTTTCGCCTCAAAAATTGCAGATTGATACTTCGCACCTGCAGACTTTGCATGATTTTCAGACCCTACTAGGAGAAATCAACTGGATACGCCCATCTTTGAAACTTACCACCGGCGACCTTAAGCCTCTTTTTACTTTGCTTAACGGAGATTCCAATCCTGCCTCTGCTCGAGCGCTCACCCCGAGCGCGGTCATGTTACTGAGGAACCGGAGTACCCATCCCCGGAGAGCCCAGAAGAGACTCCAGCAGTTAGCGCTGATCTTGAGCCTCCTGTGGATACTGAAAACTCAAGTGAAGGCTGAAGAATATTGGGCCTTTCTTCCCAATCCTCCCGTCCTGCATCCAGTTACTTGGGAGGACAATGATTTTGTGCCTGTTTATGTGAACAATACCCAGGTCTTAGGCCCGCCATCTTCCGGGCATATCTTGCCCGTGTCAGCTAAGTATAATTATACCGGCTTGTCAACTACTCAACCCATTTGCTTTTCTTCGACCCCAAGAAATTGTACTCTTATCTCCAGGTATGCTGATTGGGATGGTAATTTCACTGATGGACCTCATTGGGGTGTGGACATGCTTTATCTTCATAGAAATGTGAGCACCACTACTATTGGCCAGGGGTCCCCTCCTCCTGACATCCCGGTATGCAAGCAGAGAACGCCCTCTCAGAGCCAGTGGGGCCCGGCATGGAGAATTTGTCATCTCAACCATACCGTTTGTGATCAAGGGATTTGTGACTGGAGTGATTACCGAGAAGGGACCTACAGGCCCATAAACCTTCTATATGGAATATGGACAAAGAATAATCGGACCTATCAGACTATGCTTTGGAAGGCTGTCGCCTCCCTCCAATATATCACCGTAGCCAAGAGACAAGTAGTTTGGATGCATATAGGAACACAAGACGCTATCTCCGTAGACGGAACCCAGAAAAATGTATCTGTCATAGCTTGTGTACCTGACCCCTTCGCGTTTATCGCAGGGAATTTACAGCTTGCTCAGAATACCATGTATAATCTAACCTGTCATGATTGCATTTTAACCAATTGTCTTAATTCCTCCTTGAATGTGAGCTGCTCGAGCAAACATAAGTAACGAGGATCCTCTTTTGCATTTGAAGTCTAGACTGTTTGACCCTGAGGTGGTAAGGCGAGACGTTGCCAGAAGTCCACCCAGGGGCTCCCAAAGGAGGGGACGCCCTCGGGAGTAATGACTAGGTCACTTTTGGTTTGGATGCGTGAGAACCGCGGTTCGCCTGTATGAGAAGAAATTAGGTTCGCTTGTGTAAGAAGAGAAACTATGTCTGTGCCGGCGTCAGTCTTTGTTTGTTATGGCTATGTCAGTGTCTGTGTTTCTATGTCTAGTTTGTGATTTTTGTCTCTGAGCGTGTTTGTAAGCCAAATGAACAGCTTATATGTCAACCTGAAGCGGCAGAAATTGGATATGACCAAAACAAAATTCCACTATATTATATAAAGTAAAAAAGGGGGAGATGTTGGAGCCCAAGAGGCCTGTGTGAGGGGTCGAGGATAGGGTCTAGCACTGCGGGTGTGGTGACTGGGCCTGGTTTCCGGCCTCGGAGCTATCTTGGGTTATAACAGTTCTCTGACCCCTTGAGAAACTAGCCGCTTCTCCCATCAACTCATATCTTTGGCCTGTGCATCATGTACCAAGAAAGTATGTTAGCTTGGGAACGTCCGGACTCTAAGGGAAGAGATAAACTTTGTAGGTCAAGGAAGTGAGCTACGTGCCAGAAGGCTTCTCCTTTGTTCTCCTTTGTATCCAAGATTGTATATAAGCCAGAAGACTGCGCAATAAACTTGCCTTATGCCAGCAGAGCATTTGGTCCTCTCCTTTATTTCAGTCCCTCGCTCAGCCTCACGACCACCCTTGCCGCAGCGGGCTGCGGCAATAACTCAGTGGACCAATATTTCCAAACACCTAGTATGTAATTTTACAAAAAATACATGGATAAACGATCCATTCAAATTGTAGAATAGTCCAAAAGATTTTCATATAAGAGAGTATTAATTGTTCACTATAAGATTTCAGTTGCCTCTAACCTTTAGGAAACTAATACTTGTGTCTTGTAGAGTGGTATCAAAGAAAACAACACATAATTATGCGAAAAAGCTGTAAAAAATCCTCTCCCTTTTCTAACATATTATCAGTGCGAAGCTCGATTTTTTCCAAATACTTCAGCCAAAATAATATATTGAAAAAAACTGACTGCAGAGGCAGATGTGATTGTCCAGCTGTCTCCTATTAAGCCAGACATTAAAGAGATTTGCAAAATGTAAAAACAATGCAATTCTTCTCATTAATTTATTGTTTTAAAAGTGGAATTATTTCCATAAAAATATTTATGTTACTATGTGACGGGTGTACTGTTTTTTGAATAAATATTTCCAAACCGTTTTAATTTTTAGTAAGTACATGTTTCTGAATACACACAGCTACAGTAATTGAAGGCCCAGGAAAGAACACTATTACAAAGGGAGAGAACTGTCCCGAGAAGAGCTCTCAGGATGAAGACCACGGTTACACCAACATTAAGGCAGAGCAAGAAAGTCCGTTTGAAACCAATCTATGAGTCAGAAAAAGAGTGTCCAGGGAGAAGAGAAACCTCACAGAGAGGGACGACTCAGAAACAAAGTAAGGCAGAATTTTCAACAAGGAAAGGGTCAATAGCGGCAAATCCTATAAAGCTATCAATGGCTGAAAGCAATGCAGAGGAAGAGCAGGCATGGAGACAGCAGACGAGTGTGACTCCGAAGTAACCAGCCTGTGTTTGGGCAGAAGTGAGAAGAGGAATATTGACACGACGGGTGGGAAGAAGGCCCGAGGAGAGCAGACATTCAAAATTCAGAAAAGAGAAGTATGAGCAATAGAACAAGACCCTCCAAGAAGGCCAGAGGATCAGAGGATAGGATTTTCAAGTGCTCAGAGGACAGTGGGGAGGAAGAAGGCAAGCCCAGAATGGCTTTGGAGCCAGACTATCTGATTCAAGTCTTGCTGCTGCCAGCTGGTAAATGATGGGGCCTGAATGTTTGTGTCCTCTTAGAATTCATATATTAAAATTCTAATCCCTTCTAATCCCCAAAGTGATTGTGTTCAAAGACAGTGCTTTAGGGAAACACCGTACTTTGCTGCATATAATGTGCACACACATTTTTGGCACAAACTTTAAGGGAAAAAATCTTTCATTTTAATTTTTCAATCCAATGTTTTATCTGTTTGTATTTATATACTTGTTTTTTTTTGTATTATAAAGGAATTCTAGTGTTTATTGCAGGCATTATTTTGTAAATGGACTGTCATTATTGCTTTCTAGGGTTACACTTTTAATGCATAAGCATTAAAAAAAGAATTAAAAACTTACATAGATATGGAATTAGTACTACCCATGTATAATGCACACCCTTATTTTTCCCTCAAAAATGTGGGCAAAAGGTGCACTTTACACTTGGCAAAACATGGGGTAATTACATTATGAAGGAAGGTGGAGCCCTAATGGGATTAGCACCCTCTTCAGAGGCAAGAGAACTTCTCTCCCTCCCCGTGCCCCCTTCCCTGACCCTCCTCCTCCCTCTGTCCCTGTCCCTCTCCCTCCTCTTCTGGTTTATTAAAAGGTAGTTTAAAACTTTAAACTCATATATACAGGCTGCAGCTAGGTTTCTGACGATGAGCACCTCCAGCAAGGTGTGGCCAGGAGGGAGGGTAGAGGGGACAGTGTCACTCTCCCTACCCAGCCCTGTGTGACCCTTTCTGCAGTCACTGCTGCCTCTCTGACTAATGCTGGCTGGCCCACTTGTCCCCTGTGTGGTGTGTGGTGAGTGTCCAAGTGGTGAGTCTGCAGCGGGCTCATCTGAGAACTGTTCTGAGGACCCCCAGATGAGAGAGGCAGTCTGACTCAACTCCCCCACCCAACCTGCTGGCACCCAAGCAGTCTGCCCCCCTGCTGAGTGAGAGAGCACAGTGCACAGCCTTTACACAGGGAGGAGCCAGGAAGTCACTTGATCTTTACCTTCAGGAGCCTACTCTGCTGTTTGCCTTTGATCAACCCCCTATCTCTACACCATCCTCCCTCATCCCCAGTCTGTGGTGGGCAGGAGGTGGAGGGGGGTGGGGGAGTTGCTGTGGTTTCTGGGGGCAGCAGGGCTGGTTCTACCACTTCTTAATGAGCCCCAGAATGGCAGCAGTGCCTAAATTGGCAGCTGTCTTCACAAGGGAAGGGAGGAGTACTACTGTCTGTTGTTTTCAATAGTGGGCCCTGGTGCCTAAAGCAACAAACAGGAAAAGTCCTTCTCAGCTTGCTAGGCAGCTGGTGAGAAGGAGGTGAGGTGCTGGCTGAGCTCAGAGCTGCAAGAGATGAGCTTAGAGAATCACACCTGGCCAGACTTCAAGTCACTCATAATTCAGGTGAAGTAATTTAACCTGATCTTGAATTTATGGTGTCTTTGAAGGGTTTTACTTGAAAAGAATAACATGATCAGGTAAGGGTTTCAGAAGAATCAGTCTGGTGGGAGGTCAAGAGGCTAGAAAATGATTCAGGAGAGAGATAATAAGGGTCTTCACCAGGAGTGAAGAGTCCTTCTGCCTCTGGATAGGCCTTCTTGGGCTCAAAGCACTACTGGCACAACTGTGTGCCCTTGCTGTGCTCTGCCCACCACTTAGAACAGCCCGTACTCAAGCCTTAGAGCCCAGTGTGGGCTAACTGGTCAAAGGGAACCTCCTCTGTCTGTATCCACAGCAGGGCCTACTCCCCATCTCCTGACCCATTGTCTCAGGTTGGATATTCCAAGAAGTAGACACTCAGGTGGAGTTCGGGGTGCACTATCTTCATTAGAGATTGACATCTATGAAAGGAAGGTGGAAGAAGCAGGATCAGGCCCAGGAAAAAGTTGAACTGTGATGCAGGCCTGACAAATCATGAATCTGACAGGGAGCTCTGGAGCGAGGGCTGCCCATCAGAGTCTCGCATCAGGTACAGAGATCCAAGGCCTTATACCCCGACTTCACTCTGTTCTAGGATGCAGGCTGACCCAGAAAGAGTGTGGCCACCTGCAAGGCCATTCTGCGGCAGAGGCAGAACCTGACAGAGCTGACCGTTGGAGTCTGCTCACCAGTCCCACTGTTGGGCAGCGAGCCTCCCTTGGAAGGGTCTAGACAATTCATCTCCATGGCTGCTGTGCTGGACTGTTCTCCAGCTTCAGACCTCCATGGTCAGGCTTGCTTCTTCCAGCTCGCCTCACTCACCTCTGCAGGATCTGACAGCCCAGGAAGCAGAAGGAAATTTAGACTTCCAGAAATGTTCTTTATCTGTAATTGTAGCCCCAGGCGTCATCATTAGGTGAATTTACTTCTAAAGAAATTACATAGCAGCATTCCTGGTAAGAGATATTTGGGGGTTTTCCACTGTGTCTATTTCCGTATTATCTGTCTCAGACTTTCGTTGACGGGAGAGAGCTAGTTCTTCTTGCTGACACATGTAAAGGATTACAGACTAGCAAATCTATTAGCATGCAATCCATTTATTAGTTTTTATTATAAGTTTATCTGTTCCCATGGAAGAGGAGGGGCCTAGCTGGAGTAGGGGGGTTGGGGAGAGGTGGGGCATGGAGCAAGGTTAAGGGCAGAGCAGGGCAGCAAATGTAAGGGCAGCTGAAAGCTGTCCCCCACAGGTTGGCAAGTGCCCAAGGGGCCAGAGGCCTAGTGGCCTGAGACTGGGTGGCCAAAGAGCCAAGAGAGTGAGTCCTTTGTTCTGAGGACTTATAGAGTTGGTGGGATGGAAGTAAAAAAGTGACATATTGACTAATGGGTACAGGTGCTGCCAGCTTCCCCGGGGGATGTGACTACACAAAGGAAGGTATATATAGGGGTCTGTCAGCCCCAATCCTCATCTTTCTTCAAACCTCGTTTGTTCATCTTGTTGTAAAACAGATATGTGACAGGAGGCTCTTAATTAAAATTGGGGCAGTTTCCCAAAGTTATTTATGGGCTCTTTCTGTAAGCATTAGGCACTCCCTCATAAAACAGGTAGTGACCAGAGGTAGACAATCAACCAAAGTTGTTTTATGGGCTACTTCTTTGGACACTGTGGACCCTCTCCTGCATTCCAGGCCTTGGGATGAAAGCACAGTTTCAAGGCTGCCTTTCCCAGAGAGTGGAAACGCTACATAGAATTTCAAGGACTTCCTTTCTTTCTTGCTAACATAGTGTTCCTTGTGATGTTGGAACCCTGGCAATATTATCAGACTGGGCTCAAGACTGCTGAGTGATTGGGTGAGACCTGTCTTCCTCCTCCTTCCTGCCTTGGTTTGCTATTCATTCTACCTAAGTAGTAAAAGGGAATTCCTGAAACCAGGATGCTAGACGCTGGCCGATAACAGCAGTGCAGTCTGAGAGTTCCTCCTATGCTGTCTCCTGCTTCACTTTCACCCCCTTCAGGAACAACCTAAAACTAAGAGTACTGATCGTTAAGAAGATGGGGCCTTCTTCAGCCTTGGACATTCTCTTTCTCACCCAGATTTGGAGCTGACACTGACCAGTGTGGACAAAAGGGGCCATATGCCAAACCTGACAAATTTAGGGGAGGCCTGCACGACAGTCTTACAAACCCAGAGACCTAAGTAACCACATAGGATGGTCTGAAATTAAAAAGGTTCTAATTAAAAGCAGGTCATGGCAGGTACTCATATCCTAGACTAGAATCTTCCCTGACAAAAGTCAATCTTTATCTTAATTGAGCCTACCTATTGTCTTCTTGCACCTATGATAACATACCTCTGGAATGTCAAATTTACTTTTTCTGGACTCCTCAAAGCTTGGACACTTCCCCAGAGGGAAACTACCAATCCTCTCATTGTTATTCTTATCACATTAGTTGTTCACTGTTTACTGTCCTGCACCCACCTGTGTAAAAGAAGCATATGTCTATCATTTTACTTTTTATCCAGTCCTAGAAGTTCCTCCCCTTTGCTTTCTCCCATCTCCCTAACTTATCACCATTGGATTTTGTATAAACCACTTATACCTTCTCTTTTAATTGTAGTCTATAAAATAAGGTGCAAAACTGCCATCTCTAAGAGCATTTTCTCAATCCCTTGATGTTTTGCTTCCTGGCAATTGTTAGTTTGTCTCAAATAAACTCACAAATATTTTTAAAAAGTGCTTTTTATCCTCACCCGAGGATATTTTTGCCTGCTTTTAGAGAGAGAAAAGGGGGGTGAGGGATGTGGAGAGAAAGGGAGAGAGTAACATCAATTGGTTGCATCCTATATGCACCTGGACTAGGGATTCTACACACCTGGACTGGGGATTGAACCCACAGCCTAAGCATGTGCTCTGATGGGGAATCAAACCTGCAACCTTTCGGTTACAGGATGACACTCCCACCAGCTGAGCCACACTGACCACTCATAAAAAATTGTTTTATTGTCACAAAAATTTCTACATGTTTGGGCATTTCTTACATGGACACCAGGTTTGCTCTTGCCCAGGTAAATTTGAATTAAACTAGAAGAGGGGGATGAAGAATAAACTTTATGGTTATCTGAAAGTCTCTTGAAGATCATCTTAAGACTCCAGAGACCAACTTGTTGCCAGGGGCCCAGCAGGAGCTCTGTAAGTGTTTGTTGAATCAAACTTCTGCAAGTATCTGAGTCTATCATGAAACTGATCTGAGGTGAGCCCAGGTCTCATTTAACCACCACACCATCACTCATAGAATTCCTGTTAAAGGGCAAAGCAGATTTATTTTTAGGAAGGTGATGGGCAGGTAGTTAGTGATTGAGAAATAAGATGAGGAAAGGACAGGGACAATTCCAGAAAAGTCTCAATTTATGAGCAAAAAGTCTGTGTAAACCCTGGGACTTATGCTTAGTTGGTAACCCTGAGCTAGCTACTTATTATTTTATAAGACTTATTGGTCTTATAAGCATACTTTTAATACATACATCATAAGACATGATAAGAATTAAAGAGACAACAGGTCAAGTGCCTAGCAGGAGGCCTGACACTTGAGATGAGGTTTCTGTAGTGGTTGTTCATCATAATAAATAAAGGCTTGGGTTTCACTGCACAGGGGCAGAGTGGGAGGGAAGGGACAATGAAGCCTAGGACACAGAGGTTCTTTTATCAGGAATGAAGAAAGGTACACTGTTACTCATTGCTTATTTGTTCATTCATTCAAGATATTTATTGAGTACATACTATGTGCCAGATAT